AGCACTTTCATTCATCTTGAGATTTCTTTTTCTTTTTTTTTCTTTTTTCACTTATAACTTTTTCAGTATTTTCTTCATCTGGAACCACAGTCTCTTCAATTTCTTGAAATTCTTCTTTAATTTTTAATTCCTGTTTATCTTTTTTTTTCTTTTTCTTCTTTATTTGCTCTACAACAAATAGTTACATAACTTATATAAAGTCTAAAAATTTTATTTAACAAATTATATAAAATCTAATCAATAAATTTCAGTTACACACACTTAAGAAACTTACCACCTGATGCTTCAGAACCTATTTCAACTGCTTTCTCTTCCTTCTCAACCTTTATGCTACCTTCAGTATTATCACCTACCGTTTCCTCTACTTTAATTTTCTTTTTTTTCTTTTTCAGTATTGGTGTAGTTTCCTCTTCTGGTTGAATAATTTGTTGAGTTATTGAATCTTCTGTATCATCACTCATTTCCTTCTTTTTCTTTTTCTTTTGTATTTCTTCATCTAGTTTTGTAATATCTTCAATTAATGGCTTTTTATCCTCAATTTCAGAATGTCGCCTTTTTCCACTTGGAAGAGTTGTATCAGCAGCAGTAGGATATTGCATATATTCTCTCTTAGTATGATATTTTTCAAATTTGGCTTTTGCTTTGCCTGTTCCACTAATTCTACGAAGATTTCCTTCTTCTAATATCCTCAAACGTGATTCTAACTTTGCCTTATGTTCAGCACCAAAATCAAAGCTTCCATCTTCTCCCAATGCATCTATTCTAGTGGCCAAAGAAGCTTTAGCTGCTAACATTCGAGACATTTTTCCCTTATTTTTTGTTGAAGATTGTCCAACAAGTTGTGCATGATAAATTAAACCATATTTAGGAGTATCCTTTTTAGTTTTCAATGCTCTAAAGAGAGCTTTTTCTGCACCAAGGATTTGTACTGTAGATGCTGGATGCTTAGCAAGATTAATTAAAGATCCTGCATGTGAAATCAAACGAGCTCCTACTAATTCTCCAACAAGTACAGTTAAATTTGGAGCCATTGCCATCATTCTTGCTTTAAGATAATCATATAATTGTGATCTGTATTGAGAGATTTCAATAACTTGATCACATAAATGTTGAATATTTAAAATATCATCTTCAGAAATTTCAGTTCCCATAGATATTTCAGCAGCTTCTTTTACCTTTTCCTCTACATCTTCAGGCAATATATCAGATAAATCTGAATTTATAGTGTTTTCTCTAGTTCCAATTATTTTTACTATTTTTACAAATGCTATATTATCTGTAACAATCTTCCCAAGTTCTGGAAAGTGCCAGCCATACCATTCACGACAACGCATAACATAGTTATTTAATTCTTTATCTAAATCATCTAATAAGCAAACAGCTTGTATTATCATAGTATCAATTTTATCAGGTGAAAATTTCAGTTTATATCTAGAAAGACTATGTGCTAGACCTAATGCCATTGCTGTCATTTCTTTCTTAGGAAGACCAGCCAATAAACTATCTATTTGACTCCGTATACATCTCATTAATTCTTGTATGGCAGTATTGCTAATACAAGACAAACTAAGTTTATCCTTTATAGCATTACCTAATTTAGCATCAGCTACAGCTAATTGTTCTTGAAGTTCATTGCAATATTTTTTAAGTATCTTTTTTAATGATTTACATAGTTTGCCTTCTACTGCCGCTGTTGTAGCTGCAAGAGCTTCAGTTGTATCCACAAATTTCTCAAAATGCTTTAACTTAACTCTGTAATGTACAAAAAAAAGCCACAAAATAATTACACATTCATAATTAAGCAACCACATATTCATAATTTTTTACAGTATTAAAATTAAAGTAAGAATTACTGATAAAATATATTATTGATAATTATAATTGCCCATACATTTTTTAAGATGGAGTTTTTCCTTAAAATTATATTAAAAGAAATAAACTTACATTTTATTAGCTGCTTCGGGTGTTTCGAAATCATGATAGAGATTTTCTACTTCTGCTAATTTATTTTCGTCAAGTAACTATAAAAAATATGATTTTGAATCACTAATTTATATTTAACCTAATATGATGTTTACAACTTGAATTTACAGCTATATAATATAAAAAACACTCATAAAACTAAAACATATTATTTGTACAAACACGTGCAACATTTTTAGGTTAGAAACTAAGTAAAATATTTTAAAATTGTTTACCTTAAAAATAGCATATCCTGCTGGAGTTTCAAATAACACCAACATGTTGACTTGTGCTCCTGATTATAATTAAGAATATCGTGTTGATATTTTTACAATATTCTCATCTGTGACAAAACGTTCCAACCGATTTCAGTTTTATCAAAAGTTCATAAGATATTGTAGTTCTTCGCGTCAGTCACTATCAGCGCTAGTAGTCACTTAAAGGTAGATTCTACGAGGTAAAAGAAATAATTTCTTTTTCATCTTTTGGATGTGTAGAATATATCTATAAAAGGATTTTACAAAATTCGAAAAATTTATAAAATTATGATCTCTTGAATAGAATGGTACGTGGCGCAATAAGTTGTTATTGAATAACATTATGTTTTTCATAATATCAAACACATTATCTCTTAAACAATAAACCAATCATCTTGGACCTTTGATTTTCTGAAAATAATTTTTAAGGGAAACTGAACTATATTCACCGGAATGGGGCAAGTTAAATTGTGTTTTATGAATAATAATACGATTTGAAACTTAAGAAGTTAAATAAATACAACTAAGATACTTCGATATTAAAATCTTTTTTGTTAAAAAAAAAATTGCAAAGAATCATTTGATGGCTATTTAAGCCAAAAATTCACCTTAAATTAAGGATCTTAATAAAACTATGTGGATTGTTAATTGTAGATTTATAATATGGAAAATAAAAGATTAACGTGACTTTTTGAAAGAATAGTAATTAATTATAATTAATACACTTATAGTTATGTCGTTTAATTTTATACATTATTTATTTCATTATAATTTATATGTTTCTATTTCTACGGGTTATTATACGCGTTATTATATTAGAATATATGTTTTAAATACAAGTTGTATCATTTGAACTGATAAATATACAAATAAAAAATTCTTCAGTGAAATAATTTTTCCCCACACTTCAATATATCTTTTTATTAAGTTAGGTCATGTAACTTTTATTACATATTTGTTATAACTTTGTAAGTCGTAGAATATATTTCATAATTCACAACAATATTAAGGAATTTTAATGTAAGTGTTTAGTGTATTTACATTGTATATGCATTTATTTGTATATACATAATACAATATGTACTCATGCAATCATATAATAGTAATAATAATAATATAACAATATTAACAACATTGACAACAGCAGCAGCAATAGTGGTAATGGCAAAAATATAATAAATATATGTAAATGTACCGAAACGTATATTCATGAAGTCAAATCGGAAGTTTGTTAGGTTAGAAAATATATTTCCCAATAACAAAGTTTATGAAAAAGAAATGTACATGTAATTTTGTTTACATAATAAGATTAAAAAATTTTATTTTGAATGTAAAATTTAAGTTCATCTTCGATTAAGTTAAGTAGACATTAAATGTACACAAGTCAATTAATATCTATGAAAATGAAAAAAGAATGTAAATGGAAATAGAGCTTGACATCATGTAGATATACTTTCATATCAATTGTACTAAACGATGGAAAATAATACTAAAAATTTATTTTTTAGTTAAAATAAAAAT